GCCCTGCCGGAGCCCGAGAGAAGAAAGGAACGAAGCAGGACCCACAGTCATCAGACGGGGGCTGCTGTCTGACCTGACGGCTGACACTGGGGCGCGGTCCCAGGACCTCTTCAGAAAGCCAGCACTTGGAGGATTTTCGACCGCTTTGGGCTAACGAGAACTAATGCTGGTCCAGAAGGGCTTACGGAACCAGGTCGGGGGAGAGCTGTCATCCCGGTTACCTTTCCCGATCGTGCCCCAGAACGCACCCCTGGGAGGAAGGCCCCTTCTGGAAAAGTCCCGACGAGAGCAAGGAAAAGCAGCCCCGGGCACTTACCGGGTCTCCCCCGGAGGCGAACGAGATCGACTGCATGTGGTGGTTGGCGATGATCTGCAGGCCCAGGACAAGAAAGGAGACACGTCGTTAGTGCCCGCCCCGCGTCCTGGAAAAGCCACCGTTTGTCGGCAGGCGATACGACAAGGTTTCCTGAGAATCCGCAAAACTGGTACCGAGCGCAAATAAAGGGATGGGAGTCGTCACACCAGCTGACCCCCAGTGGGCTTTCCCCACACGTCCGCTGCTCGCTCGGCGAGCTCCCTTGAGGCAACCCTTGAGGGAGGAGCCACGGCCGCCCGTTTCACAGATGGGAAGCCCGAGGCTGAAGGACCACAGCTAACGGGGGTCCTAACGACCTTCCCTCTCGGAGAAGGAAAGGGTCTCACCCCCACACGGAAACGGGTCACTGGTACAATTTCTGCTTCCAGAGACACATGCGGTCTTCAGTGCCGACCCCCAGCTAGCGAGCAAGGAGCGTGTCTCGTTGTGTCCCAGGCACTCTTGCGACCGGTTCCATCGATGCAAAGGCCAGGGAGGACATTCCAAGTCAGTATTAAACCCGGAAATTTCCATTAGCTTTACAAACGGCAGCGGAATTCAGTAGACAGTAAATTAGAAGCTGCCCTAAATTTAAGCTGCGACGTAAGTTTCCCATGCTATTTTTATAATGTCAAAGACAATGGAATGACCTTGAATTGAATTCCGGGGTGGAACAGTGGCCCCGTCTCCATCACACCATCACCAGATTTATTCCCGCACAGCCCCTCAGGCCTTTGGTGGCGGGCAGTCGGAAATTAACGGAGGTGAAATCCCACCGTGCGAGGAGCTTCCCGACTGTGCTCCCGAGACGCTCGAAGCAAACCTGTGTCTGAACTGGGAGAAAACCATTCGTTCTAAAATGCCAAAATGGCATGTGCAAAACCACTCGCGATCTAAAAAGACCTGAGCATATAAATGGGTGGAAACAAGGAAGCCACTCTGGAGCCTGTACCAACCCGGCCGGATCCAGCTACCAGCGGCCACTTGCAGCCTTCTGGAAGCTTCCTGCCTCCAGCCCATGGGCAGGGGGCTCCCAGGAGGGCAGCAAAGCACCAGCAATCCCCACACGAGGATAAACCTCGAAAAGGTGTTGATTTCTGCTTAGTTTTTGCTTATAAGACAGCCCTCATACTGGAGTTTGGAAGCGGGTATTATAATTGAGGGGAAAAAGCAGAAATCCTATTTGGTCACGACGTGTGGCTGTTACTGTATCATTGTATCTCAGACCTTCGGAAAAGATGGGAGATTAAATGGAGTTTTGAGCCGGTGAACCTCGAGCAGGTGTTTTCGGCCAAGGGAGGTTCGAGGGACGCTCGGCAGAGGAGAGCGGCCGGGACTTTCACGGTTGCTCTGCACGGGGGAGGGCAGTGTCCGGCCAGGACTCCTCCTAATTTGCAACAGCCAGGCCGCCACGGGACAGCCAGGGGCGTGAGCGGGGGCTGGCGCCCACCGTCCCGGGCCGTGTTCCTATCGTCCCAGAGGGTGCCCCCCGCTCCTGAGCCCAGCCCCACACCCATGCTCCACAAACAGTGAGGACACAGCCAACCAGCCCCCAACCCCAGCACGGCCACGTCCCTTCCACTCCTCCTGAGTTTGCTTGTTTTTCTTAAGGGGGGAATGAGGTGTAATAGGCAGGGATCGGGACGTGTATCCCGCAGAATTGAGGACCACGGCCTGAGGATCCCTAGAAACATAACAGCGACGGCCACACTGCGTGACAGTGGATATGGGCGTGTGGTGCAGGGCAGAGGGGTCCCTCCCGCCTTGCAGCCCGGGGTCACAGGTGCTCAGCCCTGAGAGGGCCCCAGAGAAAGGCGGAGCCCGCTGAACCTTCCTAACCCACCCCCACCCCACCCGTCGGAAGGACCA